GTGTTTCTGCAGATCACCCGCGCGGAGACGTCGGGGTCTGGTTTAAGGTGGGGCTGCACCCCGCCGGACGAACGCTCCCAGGGTCGGGGGGTCAGGCCGCCTCCACACCCCCCGCCCTCGCGTGTGCCGCTCGGGGGCACCCCCAGGAGCAGGACGGCAAGTCTCCAGCGTGTTGTTGACCCACTAATGGCCGGTTATGCCCAAGTGCTCCGACCAAACGTCCCGACCCCGTGCTCTCCCCGGGGCGTCAGAGCCCCACCTGCCGGCGCCGGGAACTGCCTCGGGTCCGGGGCCGGGCCGCGGGGTCGCGTGGTAGACGTGTGCGCACTTCCCGGGCCCCTGGGCCGGTTGTTCGCTTTGTCCTCCGTGTGTCCTCCTGGGCGAGGAGCCGCCCGGCCCTGCATCTCCACCTCATGCTGCTGTCGGGTGGGGTCGTGGGGCGACCCCGACCTGGTCCTCGCCGGAAACCCCGTGGGCATGTGCAAGGCGTCGCATCGATTTCTGGGGCTGCTGGCAGAAAATCGACCTCAGTTCTCAAAACTGAATCCTTTTGTGAACGTGACGCGTCGCTCCGTCTCGTCACCTTCTCGCGTGCCCTCGGCAGCCCCTCCCGGTGGCCTTGGACACCGCGCACTGGATCGATGCCCGGCATTCGCGCGGTGCTTGTGGCTGCTGCGGACGAGATGTTTTTCTCTTATACTTTTGACTCGGTTTCCACTGGTGTGAACAGAGCTGCTGCTGTCCCGCCACTCCCCTGGCAGCAGCTCTGTCTCTGGACCCCCCTCCAGCTCGACGGGGAGCCCCGTCCTCTCTTGGCTCCTCCGCCCGCCTGGATCGTGTTGTCGTTAAGTTGGGACGATTTTAGCTCTTCCAGACCTTTCCCTTTCTTGGCACCTTGGCAGAGCCTCCCTAACCCTGTGGCTGGACAGCAGCGACCAGGGCACCCTCCACGCCCCGAACCCACTGGGACAGTCCCGGCCGCCAGGGAGCCGACGTGTGCCGCCGGCTGTCAGCAGACCCTGCTGAGAATATTCCCTCTGGTCTGCGTTTGCTTTTTTTAAAAAAAAAATCAAGACAACTGTTTACTTTATCGGGTGTCTGTTCTGCATCTGGGCACATCCTGCCATTTTTCTCCTGAAATCTGTCCTGGCGGACACCGAGTGTCGCTGCCTCCCCCTTCTGCTCAGTGGCAGTATTGCAGCCCAGGCCCTGGTGGCTGAGCAGAGCCAGGACCCTTGGGGACTCGGGCGCCGGGCAAGACCCTCGGGCTCCGGGACCCTCGGGGACTCGGGCGCCGGGCAAGACCCTTGGGCTCTCACCCCCAACCGTGACAAATGCTGATCTTGGGGACGACAGCTGCTCCCTCAGCCGAGGTCCCGGAGCCAGCCGACGTGGAGATGTATCCAACGAACAGGAAGCACGAGGGAGACCAAAACCCGCTCGATGAGCCGCCAAGGTTTGGGCTTTTGTTACTGCAGCGTAGCAGAGCCTACCCTGACAAATACAGGACATTGCTGGAGTTTCTGTCATTCAGCCACCCTCGAATTCCCAGGCTTGACGCCGTGCGCTGATGATCAGGGGCTCTTGGGGCAGCAGAGGGGACCTGAGTGTTCGAACCAGCAAAGGGAGCTGGCGCCTGCCGGACCAGCCTGCGCGTTTAACACTGACAGATTCTAGGCTGGAGCCCATGGGTGGGTCTGTCGGTAAGTGACCTTCCCTAGCCCCGAACCCCAGAATCAGCCGGACTAACCCCCCGTCGCAGGCAGCGTTCGACCTGGGCAGGCCGCGGCCCGTGGAGGAGCAGAGAGCAGGCGCCCTGTGAGGTCAAGAGCAGACGTCCTGCGTCTCTTTTCACGTTTGGCAAACGCCGTCAGCCGCTCCGCACTCCCAGCGAAGGGGGAGGGGAGGGCGGGAGGGCTGCCCCACCCCCCGCCCCCGGCCCAGCTCCGCGTGGAGAGACGTGCGCCCCGAGGAGGTCTCCTTCCCTGCGCTTTTGCACCCGACCGGCCGCCATGCCCTGGGGTCTCGCGGCGGTCAAACTCGTCTGCACTTCCTACGCCCCCCGCCGTTTCTGCCGTGGGAGCTGTCTGCACGAGGAGGCGCAGTCAAGCCCTCAACTGTCGACACAGCCCAGCCTCCGTGCCCTCGCTGCCCAGGGCTGGTGTTGTCGTGGGCTGAATCGTGCCCCAGAAAGGACACGGCCACGTCCTACTCCCTGCAAACGTGCCCCGTTTGGAAAAAGGGTCTCTGCAGATGGGGCTGTTGAGGGCCTCAGCCGAGATCGTGCCGGGTCAGCAGATGGGCCCTAAACCCCATGACGGGTGTCCTCGTAAGACACACAGAGGAGGCCACGTGAAGGGGGAGCAGAGGTTGGAGGGATGTGGCCGCAAGCCAAGGAACACCTGGAGCCACAGCAGCTGCAAGAGGCGGGAAGGGCCCCCCCAGGGCCTCAAGGAGCCCAGCCCCGCCGACGCCGCGGTCTCAGACTTCTGGCCTCCAGAGCAGAGAGAACAGGTTTCTGCAGTTAAAGTGACATGGTTGGTGGCCACTTGCTGGGGGTTCTTGGGAAACTGAGGCAGCCGCACCCGGCTGGCTTTGGCCACTGGAGCAGCAGCCAGTGACGCAGTGCAGGTGGGCGGCGCCGTGCGTGCGTGGGGGCCATCCGCTCTCAGAGACAACGTGGCCCCCTGCGAACAGCTGGCTTTTCCGGAGAGTGAGAACTCAGCCCTAACCCTCGCAGCTGCTCCAAGGGGTGGTGGAGCCCAGCCGGCCCGCCTGCTCCCCAACTCCTCTGCTCTGGGGCCAGCCCAGCAGGACGCACTCGGGGCACGAGCTGGGCGAGGGAGAGAGACTGGGGATGGAGCTGGGGCTGCAAGGTGACGGGCCTCCTCCTGGACCCTGAGGCGGTTGCCCTGCATCTCCTGCCACCCTCCCCCTGCGCCGAACCACCTCCCTCTGAAGGGGCGACTTCCCTCCCCCACCCACCCTGAGCACCAGCTCTCTGCTTCTGGGCCAGGAGCACCAAAGTGCAAGATCCAGGGTGGGCAGTAGGGTGAGGCTGTCCTGGGGGGGCGGGGCCTGCTGTAGGGAGGGGTGGGACTGTCGAGATGGGGAGGAGCCTTCTGTGGAGAGGGCGGGGCCTCCTGCAGGGAGGGGAGGAGGCTGCTGCGGGGAGGGGACCTCTGGGCTGGCATAGGGGTCCCCACGCTGTTGCGCTCCCTGGGCAGCCCCTGCTCCACAAAGGGCGCTGTGGGAAGAGCAGCCAAGGGCCCGGCGGCGCCGCCCGCCCCTTCACAGCTGCCAGTGGCAGGCAGAGGGGAGGCTGCCCCGAGCCGGCCACGTCCTCCTGCCCAGGCTCAGGCTGCAGCCCCCACCCGCCCTGCAGGTCGTCTGGCCTGCGCTGGGCTGTGGGACCCAGAGCAGCACCGCCAGGCAGAGGGGTGACGGGCTGGGCTGGGAGCACAGCTGTGCAGCAACGCTGCCGGCCACGCTGCATGGCCACTGCCCACTGCCCACTGCCCACTGGCGCCCGGAGGACAGCAGCAGCTCTGCGGCACACTGGCCGCTCTGTGAGGGGCCGGCTGAAGCAGCCGGGACCCTCTGGCTGTGCCACAGGCAGGTGCCCCCCTCCCCCGGCATCTGCTCTAGGAGGGACCACCCAGGGGTCCACAGGCCTGGACAGTGTGGGCTCCGGGAGTCACCAGAGGGGACGGGGTGGTGCTTCTGGGGGATCTCCCAGGCCCGGGCCGGCCCCAGAACCCAGGGTGGCGCTGATGTGCTGGGGCATCCCGACAGGCCTGCAGAGCCCATGGCCGCCGCCACCCAACTGCGGCCTCCCTGGGGTCGGCCGGAGGCGGGCAGGGCTCTCGGCCCAGCTCCCTGGGAGGCGGCCCGTGGAGAGCAGGAGTGGGGACCCGGCGCAAACCCCGGCTGGCCCCTCGGCAGCTGCGGAGCCTGGCAGGTGCCCGCCCTCCCGGACAGTGTCGTCTTGTCGAGTATAGGCGGCGGCCGCGGCGGCGGCATCATGCTGGGGCAGGGCCTCGCGGGCGGACCTCGGCACCCTCCCCTCGGCCTCAGAGGACACTCAGGGCCCCGCCCGGGGACTGGGGCCCCCACATCACCCGCTCCTCCCTGGACAGCACGAGCTCCCGCTCCGGGCCCAGCGGCCCCCAGAGCCTCTTGCGAAGGCCAGGACTCAGCTCTCCAGACACGTGTGGGCACGGACACACCCACGTGCACAGGCGGGCGCAGCGCCGGCTCCTGTGAGTCACCTTGCAGGTGTTGCTGGCTCAGGCCCAGCAGCTCACAGACACTTTTTGTCCCTTTGTCCCCAACTGTGCAGTGCGGAGACCCTGGGTGAGGTGCGTTTCACACAGCACAGCACGTGCAAACACGTGTGCAAGCGCATGCTCACACACACGTGTGTGCCCACGCAAGCCCTGCGCGTGTGCACGCTCTCTCCGTCCGGGCCCCTTGGCGGGATGAGGCCTCACCCACCATCGAAAGCCCTGGAGCTGGCTGAGGACTGCGGGGCTTCCTTTGGGGGGGGGGTCCGACGGCATCCTGACGGCCCAGCGGGAACTTTGCGCAGGCTGGGGCCAGGCGCCCGAGGGACGGGAGCCACAGGGCGTCGCGTTTTGGACACAGAGTCTGCCAAAGGCAGGTGCACCGCACGGCGCAAGCAGTTCCCCCATGTCCTGTGTGCAGAGCCCACGGGGGGCTGAGGGTTCCTCTCTGAACCTGCCAGACCTCGGCCAAGCACAGCGGCCAACCCGGACCCCCGTGGCAAAAACGCAAACCACACCAGCACAGCGTGTCTTGCGGGTTTATTGCGGGAAGCAAGGGTTGAGAAAGACTCAGAAATAAATATCCAGAGAGAAGCCCGGTGCAGGAGGGGAGGAGGGGAGGAGTGCCGGTGGGGAAGGGGCCGCCCGGCCGAGCTCACTTCCGTCCCGGGCGCCGCAGGGAGCGCCGGCACGGCTGAGGCTGCTGTGCAGGGCCTACAGGAGCCCGCAGACGGTGTCCTGGCACAGGCAGCTCTCGATGTGGGTGTAGGTGTGCTTCAGCGAGCTGCCATCGGGGCAGCTCAGGACCACCTCGCGCTGGCTGGTTCTCTCCTCCTTGCAGCAGGAGCACCGGTGGTCCAGGGACTGGGCCTCCGCAGAGTACCTGGGTGGGGGGGCCACAGTGAGGGGCCACCTCCCAGGGGCAGCGCCAGCCTCGGCCCCGCCCAGGGCACACGCACAGCCCGGGACTCACATGACGGATGTTCCGCAGGACCCGGAGCAGTCATTCATGGCGACCAGCTGGGTGCAGCCGGCGTGTGAGAGTTCCCTGGTGACCAGGACGGTGGAGCAGATGGGCCTGGTCTCGTTGCGAGGGGTGCCTGGGGGAAGGAGGCGCAGGCTCGGGGGCGGGGCCGCCACACCGTGGAGGGTCCACACTGGCGCGGCTCTCCTCGTCTGCCAGCGTTCTCCCGCCCCAGGCACGGCCGGCCCGCCCCCTCGGCCCTCCTGCCCTCCTCTGGGCGAGCGCCATGGGCTCCACCCCACGAAGGGACTCGGGTGACGTCCTCAAACTCAGCACCCAGACTAGAGCGGGAGGCGCAGAGGAGACCGGGCACCCGCCCCACGCCCACCCCAGGCCTGGCCGGGCGGCCCACGAGTGCCCGCCTGCCGCGCTGTACTCACAGGTCCTGCAGCATCCGTTGGGCATGAGGGTGATGGAGCCCTGAGGGAAAGGAGAGTGAGCCCGGACCTTCGGACACGGGCCGGCGTTCCTGCAGAAGGGCCCGGGGCAAAGCCTCCTGGGGCAGCTTGGGCCAGGCTTGAGCCCCCTGGGACTTCGGGGACCCCCCCCCACTCCCAGCAGAGCACACGGCGGGCGCCCCAGACAGCCACGCACCGGGACACAGGTGCTGGGGTCGAAGGAAGGGCAGGTGATGTTGGAGACGGACGAGACGAGCTGGTTGTGGATCTTCACACAGCTGAAGAACGTGCAGTTGTTGCTGGGGTCACTCTGCATGTCCCCGGGCTGTGGGCAGGGGGCGTGGTGAGGGGCAGGCAGGCCCGCCCCGGATGCTGACCAGGGACGGACTGCAGACACCTGGCAGGCGCCGCTGTTCAGACAGGCCCGGCCTCGGGGCCGGATGACCCAAAAGGTCTGTCCGCCTCCTAACTCCTGAACCTACAGGTGTGACCTCACTCGGAAGCAGGGTCTTTGAAGACATCAGTACATGAGGGGTCTTAAGATGAGACCACCCTGGATCAGGGTGGGCCCCAAATCCTTACAGGAGTCAGAAGAGGAGAGACACAGACATGGGGTGAAGTCCCCTGACCGTGGAGGCAGAGACTGGAGTGACGCGGCCACAAGCCAGGGGATGCCTGCCGCCCCCAGGAGCTGCGAGAGGCAGGAGGGACCCTCCCCAGGAGCCCCCGAGGGAGCGTGGCCCTGAGACACCTGGCGCTTGGACTCCTGTGCCCCAGAACTGGGAGGGTCCATCTGTGTTGTTTAAGCCCAGTGGGGACCGTTGGCACGGCAGCCCAGGACACGTGCACGCAGCTGTGCCAGGACTGGGCAGGCCCCGCTGTGCCAGGGCCGGGGCAACCCTGTGCGCACCTTCAGGACGAGCTGGGTGCGGGGCAGGTCGATGATGCAGTGCGTCTGCTCGCACTTCTTGCAGCACTGCCCAGGGTCCTCCACGAGGTCGAAGCCCTGGGGACAGACACACGAGGCTGAGCTCCCAGGCCCGGCCCCCAGCCCAGGGCCCTTGGGGCTGCAGGACCAGCCCCCACTCGCGGCAGGCCCCAGACTGGGCAGGCGCAGGGCCGGCATTGCACACGGCAGAGAAAATGTCACAGCAAAGCCCCGTGGAAGTGGACGGGGGCCTGGGAGCTTTTCTGGGAGGAGGGTAGACCGAGGCAGCGAGGAAGGGGTGGGGCCGGTGGCCACTCACAGGGCCACAGGAGGTGTTGCAGGGCGTGTGGGTGCAGGCGATGGCATTGAGGAAGGTGCTGTTGTCCACGGCCTCGGTGCAGACGCAGCTCTGGCACTTGGAGGAGTACACCGGAGAGCCCGGCTGCAGGCACAGGGACGGACGGTGAGGCGGGGCCCCCGGCCAGCCTAGGAGCCAGCCCAGGACCCGCACGCGGCAGCCCTGCCTCCGTGTCCCCCTCCCAGCCAGGGCTCACCTGATACTCAGCGTTCTCGTGCACACACACCCCCTTGGGCTCTGGGGAGGGGAGGAGAAAGGCCGTTACGGGCCGTCCACCACGGCCCCTTGGCCCGTCCCCGCGGCTCCCGATGTGCACCCAGTGGACAGGTGGGCGCTCGGAGCCAGGGGCCAGGGTGGGTGCATCAGCCCAGCACGCAGCCATCTGCGCAGCCCGGAAGCTGAGGCCCACGGGAAGGAGCGGTTCCGCCCGCCCGCCCGCCCTGCTCACCGCACGAGTACACGGGGCAGCACCGCCCGGGCACGGTCTTGCTCCTCACTTCAAATCCCAGCGGGCATGAGGGGGGCTTCTCCTGGCACAGGCTGCTGTTGCACTCTGCAGGGCGGGCACACGGCAGTGAGGGCGGCTCCTCACAGGCACGGCCCCCACTTCCCGTGCGCGGGGCGGGGGGCTCCTGGGGCCTCTGCAGGTCCCCTCCCTGCCTGGCCGGCCACCTCCAGCACCAGCGGCCCCAAAGCCAGCTGCTCCCAGTTCCCGAGGAGGGACAGCCCAGCGTGCGGGGACGTGCCCAGTGACAATGGGGCCGGACAGGCCCCGACCGGGGTGGCCTTACTGCAGAAGGTGATGCTGCAGCAGGTGTCGGCGGGGTTGACCTCTGTGACGAGGGCGGTGCCGTCCTCCTCGCAGCTGGTGGGGGCCTTCTGGCTGCACTCCCTGGGCTGGCAGCGGATGCCGCTTCCACCCTCCAGGCAGACGCAGTCCTTGCAGTCGAACTGGAAGTGCTCCCCAAACTGCAGGGGGAGGGGAGCGGGCAGAAGGGAGGCACCGACCTCACAGCCCCAGGGCTGCCGCACGGTCAGCCGCGTCCCTCCCCACCTCCAGGCACACAGGGCAGGGTCGGGACAGGACAGCGCTGCTCATTCACGTCACCACTGTCACAAAACCATGACCGTTCACCGGCATCTGCCTCCCCGGGCCTGGCACGTGGCAGATGCACC